ATAATTACCATTAAATTGAAGATACATGTTTGCCTACGAAAGATAAGCTTTGTCAAAAGGTCGCCCAGCTGAATATAGTGCATGAATAAGGTTTATTTTTCATTAAGCTTATTAAAAACGAAAAAATAGCGAAAGCTAAATATACACACCTATATTTAATGTTTGTTAAACCTAACCACTTTTATTGAAAAAAAAAATAGGAATAATGTTCTGTTTCTCTCAATTCTGTCCTATTTCAAAGCAAATTTCAAAAGACTCGATATACATTTCCAAAAGTAAGCCGGTATTTTGGAATTTAATTTAGGAGGGTGCGGAAGTAAATTGAGATTGAGATTTACGAAAATTAAACTGAAACTTTATTCACAAAAAAGGAAGGAACAGTAATAAAGTTTTACCTAAAACCTACCTTGATACGAAAGCTGCCAAGACGTTTCCCTTCCTCTCATAGCAACTACAGCACAGAAAACAGTTTCTTGTTTTCTTTTACGTGTTCGACCTAAAGCTTTAGTAGTTCTTTAGACAAATTCATCGTGAGTTATGTTACAATATTCTTGAGGAGTGAATGTATCCATTGTTACTCTTTTGCATCAGAATCTAATGTAGTAATAAAATATACTTGTCAGGACCACGTACTTGACTAGTGGGTCTATGATTTTAGTCTATTAGCTGACTACTATCGAATAGTACTCCATTGGGAGTTAGGATACAAAAACAAAACAGTAAGTAACGAGCTCGGATTACCCTGAAATCTTGTTTTTCCAGTTTCACAGTTCTAATAAAAAATTCTCATAACCAATCTGTGTAATTATGTAGATTGATATTTTAACTTTTGTCATTCATCTTATTATTTATTATTGTAAGAGGTTTGTTTTTAATTTAGGCTGAGGAGAGGATATTTATTTTAACGCCGTATCTAAATCCGTCCTCGCCTCATTTCATATTTACCCTCATCATTTGAATAAAAATTCGCTTTATATATTGTATAAATTTAATTTCGCACTCATTTCATATTTCTCCGGGAAACCTTCCTTGCTTTAAGTTTATATATAAACACCAACACCGTATTAATAATTTGCGTTGCTTTTCTGTAGGAGGAAACCGTAAATATTACCGTTATTCATGGGACTAAACAAAGACAAATTACACCCCAGCCCAAGAACCGACGTTTTGAAGAATTACTTTTTTGTCTGACCCACATAGATATTCAACTTTTATAAGTCTGCATTTTCACTTTGGAAAGAATCGCGTGCAGGTGTTCTCGTTTTATATTAGAACCGAAATTACTTTCAACATAAAAACTAAAGAGTTGTTGTTAAACACGAATTCATCGCGAGCAGATGTTTTAGAGGGTACGATAAACGGAATACAGATCGATTTTTTATATAAAATGCTAATAGCAACATCCCAGCGGAGGTATTAATAAGATGCGCTTAGGATAAAATGAGTTTTCGTAATTTCTTGATGACGAAATGGAACTACACGAAATAACAAAAAAAAACATAAAGTGAATTAAAAATAAATAAAACAACAAGGTATAGTCTTTCCGAAGTCAGTTGAACATGTATAAAAACGCCTAGCAATAAAATTTAATGAGGTTTCATAGGCGTCCCTAATTTTCTTTTCCAAAGGTAAAAAATTATAATTTATATAAAGAAATTTCTATTATACAGGGTATCCCGATAGTTGATACAAAACATTCGAGTACAGATAGATGAGGTCAAAATAATATCAGTTCTTCATATAATTTTTTTCCATACGGGCCTTCGTTAACAAATTACGGGCCCTCAAAGTTGAAAATTAAAATCTTATTTTTATTTGCAGTCTCTAAACTATTAATTTCAGCACGATGTAAATTTGGTGATCGATAACACATGCGTACAGCTTCTTTTTGATGTAGTAAGTGAAACTTCATTTTGCCAGAACGCCAGGGATGGACTATGCCCATTGGTTAACATCCCAGAATTTTTACATACATGATGATCGTAATCTGCCTGTATCAAAAATAAGTTCCCTGTAGAATTTGCCAACGATAATACCCTCTTGATTCAACTCGGTAAAATTAACAATTTAGAAAATATTTGTGATTTTAAGTCACACTGCACTCGTGCGGCGCCTCCACCATTTTTTGTTTTTAATTTTTAATTGCACTTAATTACTGTGTTAGAAGCGTACATATTTTAAAAACAAGAGCCTAGAAAATCTTACTGTATGCTAATGTAATTTTCACGAACAAAATTTGACAAACACACTTTACACTTAACACAAAATAGAAAAACAAAACAACAGTATGTTAAAGTAAGTTAAAAAAATAATTTTAAAGAAATAGCGAAATAATTATTTATTAAATTCGCATTAGACAATTGAAGTGGTATTTCTATATTATCCCTCTTATTTCTACTTTTCGTAATTGTATTATGAATGATTAACAGAAGGTAGCTGAAACACACCAAATTCCGCATTGCTGCACTGCACTGCCAGGCCATTTGTTGACAACTGTAGACCAGATCGCGCTCATTCTTCAACTGGGCGACCAGATCTCTATATGGGTACGGCTAAATAAATATGTGAACAAGTTTTTCAAATATTTCAATTCCGAGTTGCTGCGTCATCATTTATTCTTGTTTCGTCTGTGAAAAGAACTATTCTCCATTGATGTTGAGTATATTTATTACTATTTTCACACTTCCACTGACTTGTAATCAATAATTCGTTTTTTAGATGAGGCGCTATAAGAGCGACTTTGCAAAGATTGGATTTTCAAATATAGGTCAACTTTTCACGTTGAATGTATCTTTTACGTCCTTGACCAGACGCCTCTTGTATTCTCCAGTCTCATTGTATCGTTTTATTACCCGACAAATGGTCGGTGGGTTAAATTAACAATATTAATACAAACCAGCTCGCTTAAATGTGGTATTTCAATAAACGAAACTACAGAATCAAATAGAGCACTCGAAATGACATTGTTGTAAAATCAAACAAAAGAGCATTGTTAGTCACCATGGCACACTACATCATGTTTGCAATTTGTAACATTGTTTATTAAATTGTAGAGGCTATGTCTACACACAAAATGTGCAAAATTTTTATCCGCGAATTTCCGAACACCACCTCCATAATAGTAGTATACTACCCTCCTATTTTCATACTTAGGCTAAATCTTTACAGTGAAAATGAAAAATAAATAATATTAAACAAATTATTTGAATATTCTTCTCATAAATCGTAAATAAACTACTCACCCTTCTGATAAAACTGATGTTCATAAAAAAGTCTTGTTTATTGCCATTATTTTGTATCTTAACTTACTAGAGAACAAGCTATTGCCAGATATCTTTGTGGAATTCTCTCTTAATGCGACCGACATAAAAGTAGCAATTTCCGTTATTTACTCTGTCTCATGCTACAATATCCGACGTATATCCATCAGCATGATATTGGCTACAGGACATTCGGGATCTCTGTTTATCTAATAAATAATACGAGAGGAAAAATAAATATTTCTGGACAGGAAATATGGATTTATTAGAATCCGTTCTGCGCTGCGTATTTTAGCTACTAATAAAAGCCAATATTTGTTCTTGAAATGCGTATTAATCTTTAGTTATTTATGCAGGTATGCTTTTTTAATCAAAGTATTGTATTACAAATAATAAATTACTGATTTTGATAACACTGTCTAAAAACGTAAATTATTTGTTAATTCGTGGTAATTCTAATTTTCTATCACATTTGCTGACTGGGAACGAGCGGGCGCACCACAGAGTGTTGAAGCGAAACAGCTGTTTTTCTCATCGTCTTAAATTTTGCAATTGGTTTCAAAATCAAAGTGCAGTGAAGAAGAATATTATAAATTCTAAATTGCAATAGCCTAACATTCGAAAACAATTATTATCCTTTACATTTGTTTTCATTAACAAAATTTAAAAATCTCCGTCCAATATTTTATTGTTTACGTATTGTCATTTTTTAATTTATCGGTCTAAAACGTACTCGCTTAAATTAGCTGTCCAAAAATGCGTATATATACTACGTGGCGGCAATGGCGGTTGAATTAATCGAATATGTTCCTAGTTTGTTTTAATTTCAGTTTGTGTTGTTCAGCTTTGAACAAACACATGCAATTATAAATGAATTCGACATGTGATTTAAGCCGGGATTTCAAATAACAAATAAATTTTATATCAACTAACCCAATTTATATTTTAATGCAGTCCCCTTTGGTATTGCCGCAATAAAAGTTTGTCGGCAGATGATAATTTAGTGGTTCGATTTTATGGAATTGCATATTGGACGCATTAATATGCATTTTAAAGGAGGCGGTGAATTCTCAAAAATCAATATTCTGAAGTACGTACTTTTATTGATTAAATGACAAATTTTTAATAAAAAGTAGGTACATCAAATTTATTAAATTTTATAACCTTTAGGTGCAATTATGTTACCTTCGTCAATAAATTGCAATCAGAAATATTAATGAAATTTTTACTCATAGGCATAATGCAAATATAATCTTGCTATAGTTTTGCATAAAGAAAGCCAGTAAAGATTAAATTGGTCCGTTAGAAATGAAGATATTGCAGATTTTACATATCATAGACCTTTGTAGTAAAAAAAGAGGTTCATATTTATCCACTCTTGCAAGTAAAAAGCATTTTACTTAATAGTGATTAAAATTAAACAATTATTATATGATTCTTTTTATTTTATATCTCCTCAAGTTTGTTTTCGTTTAAAAACTGCTGGACAAAACGTCATATATAACAAGTTAGAGTGAAATTTCGTTAAAAGCACGTGAGCATTTGTCACACTCACAACACATCAAACCTCTCACGTGCTTACTGTATTTATTTGTGAGTGTAAAATTCACTCACACATTACCACATCTCATATTTTAACGTATTGATCCTCGTTTAAAATACATTAAAATTCAAAGAATAAAAAATAATAAACGTTAAAATTTGTACGTATTTGAATCTAATGCGATGTTTCCTTTCCAGGAGGTCCAGGTCCTTAAATCGCTTATCCTCGGTGAGGAAGAGCGTGGCCAGAGCCAGTACCAAGTGATGTGCTTCATATTCCACTTCCCCAAGGACTCCTTCATATCGTCGGACGCGATGGCCAAGCTGCGGCAGAAGAACCCCAGCACGATCCGCACGCCCGAGGAAGACCTCGGCAGGACGAACCACACCATGGACTACGTGGTGGTCCTCAAGCACGCGGGCATCATCTCGCCGCACATCGCCGACCTTTGCGCCGAGGCGGGCTCGGCCAGCTACACTGTCCACGAGGACGTCGTCAAGTGGGCAGCCGCACAAGGTACGTAGGATTTTTATCCTCCTTTGTAAGTCGTATAGGATTTAGCAGTGTTAGGGACGTTCTGTTAAGAAAAATGTAGAACGCTTCGAATTAGTGCTCGACAAAGTGCAAGATTATACAGAGTGGAAGGTTTAACTTGAACAAATTCTGTAACTTAATGAATTTGTCGCGAAATTCCTGAAATATCTCAATTTTTATTTTCTGTCGGGCATATTACAAAGAGGTTTGTTTATTTTTTTTAATTATGTAGGGGTTGCAGCAACCTTGGACAAATTTGGATTTAATTTTTGGACTGACGCTATCAGCCTTCGAATGTCCAGGAAATCTACCAGTTTTTATAGGCAGTAGTACAGTCATTGAAGCTGAAAATCAGCTGTAACCTCCGAATTCTTTGAAACTGCATGGATTTGCATAAAAATTTAGAATAAGGCTCATCTTAGGCTCAAGTTCACAAGTGACATAAGCCCGATTGACGCTTTTTGTTTTTTAGGGGTAAAAACTACCTCTAAGTGAAAAACATTGAAAAAATTAAGTTTGAAGTTTATTGATAAAAATCTTGTTCAAGCACAAAGATTAAATAATGTTCTCGAACATGTTTTATTATATATTTGATCTTTTCGACCCTTTATTTAACAGTTAAAAACAAAAATTTCAAGAAAATAATATTTGAAGATTTTAAAATTTAATTTTCACAATACTGAAAATGATAATGATTATGTAAAAATCGATTAAATTAAATGTTCAAATTGTGCACCGTTGGCTGCCTGACAGTAGCCAAGACGATTAATAAATTATTTTTGGACATTATCAATAACTTTAGGAGGTATACGATGTATCTCGTGACGAATTCTTGCTTTTAAATCTTCTAAATTAACCGGTCTACGAGTAGTAACGTATACTTTGCTTTTTAAGTATCCCCACAAGAAATAATCTAGGGGTGTCAATTCGGGCGATTTGGCTGGCCACTCAATCGGCCCCCTTCTCCCTATCCAACGATTCGGGAACAGCTCATCTAAATAAGCACGTACAGGTGTTGCATAATGGGGAGGTGCACCATTTAATCGATTTTTACATAATCATTATCATTTTCAGTATTGAAATTAAATTTTAAAATTTTCAAACATTATTTTCTTGAAATTTTAGTTATGTAACACCATCATTTTTCATGATCTGTGTATGTAGAATGACACGCTCTTTCAAATGGCATGGTCAAAATTGGGGGTTGCTATTTAAAAAAATTGTCGATGACGTCATATCTCGAACAACGATGACGTCACAAATATGAGTCGTATGTCAAAAAGTGCCTTTTTTAAAAAACAAAATCGACGTGCCAGGGGATTTTTTCGAAAACTTCTCAATTTAAAAAATAATGAATTTATTCGTTACTTTTCGAAAGCACTGTATAATACATAATATATAAAAATGAGAAAGCCTATTTTGCTCCGAAAAAATGTCATTGGTTTTTTTACCATATCTCGGTTAATTTTGAAGCTATAATATATAAGATAATTTCAAGAGCTGTGAGATCATTTGCATATAAAACCTTTTAAGTCCTTCGTTTTTTAAAGAGAAAGGATCGAAGGGCTCGAGACAGGTCGTTTTTTCACTAAAATGGATACTTCAAGCGGCGTATCTCCTTTATTTTTTATGCTATAGGAATAAAAAAAGCAAAATATTTGTGAAAAAAAAAGCTACATTTTTGTTGTCTATCATTTTTACGTATCTTTCATAGTTTCAGAGTTATTATATGAATAAGGCAATTTTTTTGAATAATGAAATATACGTTTTCAACTTTTACCGTACATTATTCAAAAAATACGCATTCTAAACCGGTCTAACTTCAGGATCGTATGAAAAACACTAAAACAAAACTAATTGTAAAGGGTCTACGATTAATTTTAATTCTGATGGAAATGGTACAGCGTTTACTGCTCATTTTTCCTCAAAAAATATTAGCAATCCATCTGTTTTTGTCGATAAATTCAATTTTGCTCTAATTAACTTTTATAAGTGCTCATTTTGAAGGTCTTTTTGAGTACTAAAAAAAACTCCTGGAGCGTTATACACGTAAAATTAATCCTTTTTCCGTTATTTGACATTGAATACATCGATTCGAGTATTCCCCCCAAAACAAGTACCCTTCCACTAACCATATTTCGCTTTGTATATGACGTAGAACACTTTTTAAAAAACAGTTTCCTTTGTTTATGTATATTCTACGTTTTTGTTCATTACACTTTTTTTAATAAAATGCGTAGTTTTTGAGTTATTCGCAAAAATTACTTTGACAAAATTTTTTTTTCACTCAAAAGTTTTCAATCGTGAATAACTAAAAAACTATTGATTTCTCGAAAAAATTCTTCGAATATTTTTTGCTCGAAATTTTATTCTCTGTCAATTTCCAGCGTTATTTTTGAAAAAAAAATTCCACCCTCAATAGCGCGTCAATCGGCGCTATGTCACTAATGTTCATTGACCTTTTCTCTAACTATCAAATTTCAAGTCGATCGGTTCAGTTTCAAAGAATTCGGAGGTGAAAAGCTTCGATGACTGTACGTCCGATTTACTCGCGGCCACGTATGACTTATAAATATACATCTCGCATCAGTTTCAGCGGTTGAAATGGAATTACAATTAATCGTTTCATCCCTTAAACCCGACGATTTCCTCGCGGCGCCGCACCGAGCCCCGAAGGGGAGAGCCAGACAAGTATTTGAGGTATTTCCCATTAGGTCGCATTACGCGGTAATAAGGGGAGGACGCGGCGAGTGAATGTTACCGCCGGGCATAATATCACATATGTTTAAATTGGATCGGTTCTCCGCAGAATCCATTTCCAAATGAGATGCTGTGGTCCCCGCTAATATTTGCGCCGGGCTAAATCTCCCGTATTAATTCACCGATGGAATCCCGGAGTTGTTTCTTGTTAATACGAGGCAGATTCGGAATTCATTAAAATATGTGTGAGCGGAGGGTGTTCCAATATCCGTGTACAGGAGTACATAAGTCTAACCCCCTTTTTTTACCTTTCTGTATAAAAAAAAAGGTAGAGATCATGGTTTTTCACGAAATTTTCTTGGAATTTCTAAGGGAAATTTTAAAAACTGCTGCATTTGAAAGATACAAACTAAACTCGTGTTTATTTTAATGAAACATACTATACAGAGTGATTCAATCATGTCAATCACCTAAGAGGGTGTAACTCTGCAACTGTAAAATTTATAAAAAAAATGGTTTTAATAAAAGTTGTCAGGAATCATGAGGGTCATGTAAAAAAAATATTTTTAGGTTTACAGGGTGTTCCACTTCGCATGGGCGCTACATGACTTTGTTATTTTAAATGGAACAAATGGAATATTATTGCATTTTTGAATTCCTTGGTTAATATTAGGTATAGTTTATTGAATGTACATGGTGTTTAGAACCTACCGTTTTCGAGATATTTAGTTGTTTTTGAAAAAAATCACTATTTCAGCTCTCTAAATGAGGCTAGATAGCGTCTAAACCGTAACAGTTAGAAACCTGTAGTTTTCACAGCTCGTTTTAGCATACTTGTCTCTGTCTTGGGTGAATGCAAAATTGAATTGCCCCTTCGACTGATATAAGGTTGTCCATACTTATCTCTAACAGATTTCCAGAAAAATCAGGTTCTTTTCTAAAGTCGGAAAAAGTAGCTATGTAACAGCTTCAAGAAGGCCTTGCAAAACCACTTTTCTTTCACATTTTATTAGGCATGGTACTGACATTGTCAATATTTACTGACATGTTTAAGTGGTTTGATAAACAAGAGTAAACCACTAACAACAACTAAAACAAAACGCAAAACGAAATAAACTGAAACTCGAAACACAACAAGGAGAAGAATACTTCTGCTGATTTACATCAGTTGCTCTAAATGTCCTCCATTTTGATTAATACACAAACGAATACGGTTTTTAAAGGACTGTTCAACATTGGTCAGCATGTCTGGCGTAATTTCTTGAAATGCTACTGTAATGCGCTGTCACATATTTTCCGCGGTAGTTGCTGGTGTAGCGTAAACTTTGCTTTTTATAAATGCCCACGCAGAGAAGTCGCAACTTGTCATATCTGGACACCTTGAAGGTCAACTCACTGGTCCCCCGCGCCCAATCCATCTGTTGGGAAAAGTTTCGTGTAAAAATTGACGAATTGCAGCGGTATTGTGAGGTGGAGCACCATCATGTTGCATCCACATTTTTCGAAGTGTAGCTAAAGGAATGTCGCCTAACAAATATTCTAGAGTGTTTGTTAAAAAGTTTAAATAAACTGCTCCAGTTAGATGCTGGTCAAAAAAGAATGGTCCAATGACATGAGTTCACAAAATTGCTCCCCCACGTTCAAAGACCACCTGTGTTGGCTATGAGTTGTCCGGAATTGGTGAGGATTTACTGTGTCATAATGGCAATTATGACGATTAACAGTCTCCGCTGAAAGTCTACTTCTAGTAACTCTTGGTGTAATTGGATCCGATAAGGATGATAACTGTGCTTTTGTAAAATCCTATGTATCGACGTTGTGCTAATACCCGTTGTGTGACCAATTTGTCGCACACTTATTTGCGGATTTTCCTGGATACACCCCAGCACAAAAAAATCATTTTCCTCCGTAACTACAGTTTATGGCGATTTCGTTTTGTATGTTGAATATTACCAGTATTTAAAAACCTATCAAGCACTAGTTGAAGGGCTTCACGCCATCGATGTGGTCTCTCTGGAGCATAAATTCGTGATGCCAATAACGGATTTCTTTCGCACTCACATAGAACAAAAGCTATGTTAATCATTTCTTCCTGCGTCAACGGCATTTTGAAAATATAACTATGTACTTAGCAAAATAACTATAACGCCAACGTTAATCAAAATTAGAGTGACAGTTAATTTCTTTGTATGTGCAATAAACATTGTTTGCAAGGCCTTCTTGACATAGCTACTTTTTCGGACTTTAGAAAAGAACCTGATTTTTCTTGAAAACTGTTAAGA